CAAGTATGCCCCTTGGGGGGAGGGGTTCTCCCCACTCCCCAGTGCAGCTTCCATCGCTCTCTCTACAGGGCTCTCCCCTCCACTCGTCCCTCGCTTCACTGATCCTGGACACTGACACAACCGGCTGATTCTCTCAATAGTGGTTGCCTTTGGAGGGAGAAAAGGAAAGAGCAGGGAGTGAGGGACAAAGGGAGAAATCTTCAACTTTCTCCGTAACATTTTATTTATATATGGGAAGCAGATATGACCCAATGTTAGCCACTGTTAATTCTCGGTGGTGGGAACACAAATTCCTTAAACAAACAAACAAACAAAGAACACACCTGAACTCAACTAGAACTCGCAGAGATCTGATGTCGTGTTACCCTTGTGCATTTTGGTCTTCTTCATATTTGATGCTTCCTAAATGTCTTTTTTGCTGATGTTGGTAGCAAAGTCACAAGGACTAACTCCTAACAGCTGGGGAGCAAGCTCTGGACGCACACCAGCACTTCTCAGAAATATCCCCTCGGCCCCCGGGGCTGCACGCCTCTGACCATCACAGGGCTGAACGAGTCTGGCTTATCTGGGCACACCTAACGTTTCCATGGGGCCTGGGAAGGCCAACTAATTTTAGTGAGCACACAAGCACTCTGTACTTGAATTTTAGAATCCAGCAGCAAGGGGCACCTGGGTGGCTCAGTCGTTAACTGTCTGTCTTCCGCTCAGGTCATGATCCCAGGGTCCTGGGATCAAGCCCCAGGTCCAGCTCCCTGCTCCGCGGGAAGTCTGCTTCTCCCTCTCCTGCTCCCCCTGCTTGTGTTCCCTCTCTCGCTGTGTCTCTCTCTGTCAAATAAATAAATAAAATCTTAAAAAAAAAAAAAAAGAATCCAGCAGCAATGAAACACACAAAGGAAAAAAATGGCCTTGAAGGGAAGGAGACAGTAGCGACCGTTACTCATTTCAGAAAACGAAGCTGGTTTGGGAAGCCACGTGTGCATCAGGAACGAACGCTGCTTGGGAGTCGGGGCTTTGGATCATAGCTGGTCAGATGAGGAGGTGGCAGGCAGGTTGAGTGGAAGCCAGTTCTGTTTTCTAGTCCTTCATCATCTAAATGCCAAGAGAATCTCCCCAGGGAGACTGGACTGCGACATGGCCTATCTCCTTCGAGAGGAGCCAGGAGCCCGAGGGTGCCTGTTACCTTTTACAGATCCAATTTCCCTTGCCTAGCTCTTCAGGGAGCCCTGTACAGATCTCCAAAGAGCCCCAGATTCATGACCACTGATAGGCTGGGAACTGTGGGGAACCCCTGGCACCCGATGAAAGGCCAGGCAGCCCCAGCCCCAGAGATGGAACTCAGCAAACCAAGGAGCCGGACCACAGGCTTATCAGTCAGGCCCTTCCAAAGGCCAAGGGGCATTTAACCGGAGACACCTGGTTTATCTTTATCTCCAAGCCCTTTCCTGGAAAACAAGCACATCCTGAAAGGACCACAGGGCCCTGAGGTTGGCCAGGCTGGCAGCCTGCAAATGGCAGGATGGGAGCATGCAGAAAGGAGCGGGCAGGCCTTATGCTCCATGTGCAGACTTGCAGTCCAGAGGTTGGGGCTCTGACCTCAGATAAACCACCCAGACTTTGGGCCTAATGGCCTCAGCTAGGGAAGTCTCAGGACATCAGTGGTGACTGTGTCAGAGGGGCAGCAAGGGAGAATGGCCAAGGTACAGGGAAGCTCTGGGTTGCAAGGTCAGCAGACCAGGGGCTTTCTCCCAGCTCCACTATTTACAGCTCGTGACTTTGGACACATTATCTCTCTTTCTGCACATGTTCCCCAAATGTGAAAGGGGTAAAACTACCCCCTCACAAGGCATACATGAAATCAGATAAAGTACAAAGATTCCTGGCCCATGGGTGTCTGCCCAATTGCAGCTTCCACCCTATTAAGGGATTTCAGATGTTCACAAAGAATCATTCCTATACATTAAAAAAAAAATCATTCACCACGATCAAGTGGATTTATTCCTGGGATGCAAGAGTGGTTCAATATTTGCAAATCAATCAACGTGATACGTTACATCAACGAGAGAGATGATAAAAGCCATATGATCATTTCAATAGATGCAGAAAAAACATTTGACAGAGTGTAACATACATTCATGATAAAAAACCCTCAACAAAGTAGGTTTAGAGAGAACACAACTCAACATAATAAAGCCCACAGCTAACATCATACTCAATGGTAAAAAACAGAGCTTTTCCTCTAAGGTCAGGAAGAAGACAAGGATGTCTAGTCTTACCACTTTTATTCAACATAGTACTGGAAGTCCTAGCCACAGCAATCAGGAAAAAAAAAAAAAAGACATAAGGCACCCAAATTGGTGGGGAAGAAGTAAAACTTTCACTATTTGCAGAAGACATACTATATATAGAAAACCCTAAAGGTTCCACCAAAACACTACTAGAACTGATAAATGAATTCACTAAAGTCACAGGATACAAAATCAATACACAGAAATCTGCTGCATTTCTATGCACTAATAATGAAATAGTAGAAAGAAATTAAGAATACAGTCCCATTTACAATTGCACCAAAAATAATAAATACCTAAAATTAAACTTTAACCAATAAGGTAAAAGACTTATACTCTAGAAACTATAAACAATTGATGAAGGAAATTGAAGACAAACAAATGGAAAGATAGTCCATGCTCATGGATTAGAAAAACAAATATTGTTAAAATGTCCATACTACCCTAAGCAACCTACAGATTTAATGCAGTCCCTATCAAAATACCAACAGCATTTTTCACAGAACTAGAACAAACAATCCTAAAATTTGTATGGAACCACAAAATCTGAATAGCTAATCTTTTTTTTTTTAAGATTTTTTTTTTAAAGATTTTATTTATTTATTTGAGAGAGAGAGAGAATGAGAGATTAGCCAAAGCAATCTTAAAGAAGAAAAACAAAACTGGAGGTATCACAAATCCAGACTTAAAGCTATAGTAATCAAAACAGTGTGGTACTGGCACAAAAACAGACACACACATGAATAGAACAGAATAGAAAGCCCAGAAATATATCCATGATTATATGGTCAATGAATCTTTGACAAAGGAGGTAAGAATAGCCGATGGGAAAAAGTCTCTTCAACAAATGGTGTTGGGAAAACTGGACAGCTACATGAAAAAGAATGAAACTGGACTGCTTTCTTTCACCATACACAAAAATAAACTCAAAATGGATTAAGGCCTAAATGTGAGACCTGAAACCATAAAAATCCTAGAAGAGAGCACAGACAGGAATTTTACGGACATCAGCCATAGCAACATTTTTCTAGATTTGTCTCCTGAGGCAAGGGAAACAAAAGCAAAAACTACTGGGACTACATCAAAATAAAAAGCTTCTGCACAGCTAAGGAAACAATCAACAAAACTAAAAGACAATCTACTGAATGAGAGAAGATATTTGCAGATGACATATCTGATAAAGGGTTAGTATTCAAAATATATAAAGAACTTACACAACACGGCAGAAGACATGAACAGACATTTCTCCAGAGAAGACATACAGATGGTCAACAGACACATGAAAAGATATTCAACATCACTCATCATCAGGGAAATGCAAATCAAAATCACAATGAGGTATCATCTCATACCTGTCAGAATGACTAAAATAAAAAACACAAGAAATAAGTGTTGATGAGGATGTGGAGAAAAAGGAACTCTCATGCACTGTTGGTGGGAATGCAGACTGGTAGAGCCATTGTAGAAGAAGAAGATCCCCCCAGAATTAAAAATAGAATTACCAAAAGATCCAATAATTCCACAACTGGGTATTTTCCCAAGAATATTCCCAAAGAATTCAAAGATACATACACCCCTATGTTTACTGCAGCATTATTTATAATAGCCAAATTATGGAAACAGCTCAAGTGTCCATCGATAGATGAATGGATAAAGATGTGATATATATAGAGAGAGAATGCAATATTATTCAGCCATAAAAAAATGAAATCTTGCCATTTGCAACAGCATGGATGAATCTAGAGAGTGTAACACTAAGTGAAATAAGTCACTCAGGGAAAGACAAATACCATATGATTTTACTCGTATGTGGAATTTAAGAAACAAAAGAAATGAACAACAAAAAAAAGGAGACAAACCAAAAATAGACTCTTAACTCTAGAGAACAAACTGATAGTTACCAGGAGAGGCCGATGGGGGGATGGGTAAAACAGGTGAAGGTGATTAAAAGCACAATTACCATGATAAATAGTAATGTATAGAATTGTTGAATTACTATATTGTACACCTGATACTAACATAACACTCTATGTTAACTGTATTGGAGTTTATGCTATCATTTTTCTCCATAAGATCTTTTTTTTACGTTTATTTATTTATTTAGGGACTCTCCCCCCTACCCTAGACACAAGGTGGCCTCCGCCCACTTGTAAGGATCCAGAGCCCATTCCCACTGGGACCGCTCCTCCCACACTTGCAGAAACTATGCTGTCACCTCCGGGAAGGCAGCCCACTATCAAGCCCAGGGGTTTCAGACTCCAGCCCAACCACCTGGTAATTTTCAATGAGCGATTCTGGGGTGAGGGGTTTTCTTAGTGACCTCAGTGGAGAGTGTTCTGTTGAGAACAATCTGCTGATTTCAGATCGCAAGTGCAGTTTTGAAAGTAAAACTAACATGAAAGGGACACTACACAATGAAGAGTATTGTTATATACGGCTCTAGAAGGATCTCACCAGAGAGTAGTCTGGGGTTGGGAAGATGAATGTTCCCTGGGAACCATCCAAATTCCAGGACTTGCTGATGTTTCTGAAAGACCACCTTCCATGCAACGAGAGAGTGGCAAGGCCCAGCGACCACCTTGAGCAGCCATCTCACCCCAGACAGGAAAGGCGAGCACAGCACCAAGAGGTCGTTGAAGGTAACATGAGAGATCCAGCAGCAAGTGGAACCAGAGACGGTTGGGTTAGATGAGCAGCTAAAAATCTGTGACTCACCTTGTCCATGAGCTCTGTGGCTTCAAAGGCTAATTTGATTTCTACCTGCCTCTGATTGCAGCACTGAGTGCAGGCCGGCAAAGGTGGTGGAGCTGCAAAGAAATTCACACCTGAGGGGGATCTGAAAGAGGAAAGATCAGGAGGCCTGAGGGGTCTCTAATTCGGGATCAAATGAAAGACCTCTGCCCTCCAGGGCAGTGAGTGTGGGGGGAGGGGCAGCCGAGCTTCCTGGGGGCAGAGTGTGAGCCCCAGAACCAGACCCTGGTCCTGCACCTCCACCTCCAACGGTGTGCCCTGGGGAAGGTCAGGGACTATAAATGGGAAGAGACAAATTTGGCATGCCATAAACATAGGAAAGACTTAATACTTAAATCTAATTTCCACTTAGTTTAATAATCCCCATTTTGATAATTGCACTGTAAGCTCCTACGGGTGCCAGACTGTGGCTTAAACCTTGTATCTGCTACAGCACCTGGCCCGGGGTGGCAGATTCTACTCCCAGGGGGGATCCCCACTCCAGATGTGACTTACAGCCTCCGATTCCTTACCTGTCGAAATTTCTGCCTTTCTCATGAAATTGTTTAATTCTGTGCACCCAGAAGACCTCTGGAATCATGCTCCCCACCCCCAAGGAGTCACTGACAATCTGCTGTGAGAGCAAGTGGGATTCCGTGCGGTGGGAAACTTGCAAACAACCCCCGCACAATAGGCAGTATTGTTGAGTGTCTTTTGGGACCGCTGGTAAGGGGCACACGCTCAAACCTTGCTTTGCTCACGGAGACAGGCATGAACACCCGCGGTGATTTTCAGCGCCTGGTATTCGACGGGTCTGAGAGTACGGTCAAGGCATGCGGATCCCTCGACAGAGCCTGGCACCCCACCTGCCTGTGGGGTTGTTCAGCCCCTGGCAGGAACTGGCTGTCAGGTCATTTCCCCCTGCCATGTGAAAATTTAGAAAATTTTCTGGTTAATGACTGTCTAGCAACAAAGACAGGATCATAGCTGCTATCAACAAATTCAAGGAAGGAATGTCAAGAATGCAGACAAGGGTGCCAAAGGACTTTTCCCTTTGGCTCTGGGCTCCCCTTGGGTCTCCTATCCCCACCAAGAGGACCCTGGCGGGGGGAACCAAGTAAAGGGGCCTAGATATAGTTTCAAAAGGAGATAATACCAGACAGGGCACCTTTTACCAGAAATGATAAAATGATACCTCAGTAAACCTGACCTTAAAGAAAAAAGCAAACAGCATTTATGCAAAGCCTTTGATGACTTATTAAAATTTAAAAATCTCATTCATGGGGCACCTGGGTGGTTTAGTCGTTAAGCGTCTGCCTTCGGCTCAGGTCATGATCCCAGGGTCCTGGGATCGAGTCCCACGTTGGGCTCCCTGCTCAGCGGGAAGCCTGCTTCTCCCTCTCCCACTCCCCCTGCTTGTGTTCCTGCTCTCGCTGTCTCTCTCTCTCTGTCAAATAAATAAAATCTTTAAAAAAAAGAGAGAGAGAATCTCATTTATATCTGAGATGCTTCCTTTAGTCAGAATAAGAGGAGCCTAAGGCTGCAGCATAGCTGGGTGGGCGGGATATTTACATCACTGGGAGTGAGGGGGCAGTGGGTAGAGCTCAGGGCAGTAAACACCACCCCCTTGCAGGGGCCCAAAGAGTTTAGTTAAAAGCCGCACTGGAGGGTAGACAGTGTTGTGGGAACCCGCCAGGGCCACTGAGGGACCCAGAGGAACAGCAACAGGAAGCCAGGACCACCTTTAGGACCAGAGGCACAAGGGGGAGGTAGGGTCACCCAAGTCCTGTGGAAGCTGGAGTCACGAGGGAACCCCATCCCACCATAGGAGCCACCGCCAAAAATGTCGCATGAAGCAGAGAAAGATAACAGAGAAATATCCAACCCCTACCTGCTGCTCCTGGCTGACCCCCAACAGAGCAGCCATAGGTCATGGAGGGACCCCAGGGCCGGCAGGGATCGGCCTCCAGAGGACAGGGCAGAGACTATATCTGTGGACGAAGAACCAGCTGTGTAGGTCCCTTTGTGGAGAAGGAACCCTTTCCTGTAAAATGGGGACCCTGGTACTTGCTGTCAGCCGGCTATCGATCAAGAGAGATCATGTGTCAACTCTGATGGTAGGAGAACCCATTTTAGTTTAGGAACAAGGAATAAACAGAGCGTGTCTGTTTATCCTCAGTTATGAACGCACTTCCCATGTTGCCTTTTTCTGCAAATGGGCAGGCTGGATTTCTCAGAACATCACCATCTGCAGCATGTTAATTCTCCCAGTGTTTACCACAGACCCGCTCCCATCCTTCTAATTTCAGAAACCGGTTCTGGGCATGAAAGGCCACCGCGTTCCACTTCCTCAAGCAGCCTCCAGCCATTCACCTTGGCTGTTTCTTGGTGGACACGGAACCAAGCTCTGGAGAAAACAAGGGAGTTAAAATAATGGCAGAGTCAAGATTCCTGTCGGATGACACCATTTATTGAAAGGCAATCCTGCTTTATCCAGTTCACATACATGGAGGTAGCTGCCCACAACATCTCTTCCCCATGACAAACCAAAGCAATCAAACATCCCCAAAGCCAAAGCACAACAGAATAAAGCTTCTTGCGTTTGTCAAAGGACGCTCCGAAGCAAGAAAAAAAAAAAATTATAAAGACATATGATGATTGTCTCCTCGGCATTGCATTAGGCCACATATTGGTTTATTAAATAAAATATTTTCTTTTTTTTTAAGCTAGCTAAGAAAATATTCTTGAGTAGGGTTAGTTCTTAAAGTAATAAACAGGAAAGAAAATGAGTATATAATAAAATCAAAGAATGATAGCATGTCAGAGCTGGAAAGGACCTTGAGCCACGGTCCTCATGTATTCCAGGCAATCTTGTGCTCTGAGAGCACACGCCCCCCCATCAAGGTCACCCCCGTCAAGGTCACTGGGGCAAGAAGAGTGAGGACTTGAAAACATTTCTCAAGGCCCAGCCTGATGTTCTTCCCACCCTGCTACCCCGCACGCCTCACCTCCAGCACCAAGCCCGTGTAGGCTGATGCCTTTGTTAACATTTGCAACAGCCCATCTTTTACCATGAGGTTGCAACCCTCTGAACAGGGATCTCTGTTCTCTTTCCATGGGCACTTTCGCCTCTTGCAGCCAGCCTCCTGGTGACCATGAGGAACTGCCAGGAACAGTGACTTTCTCACAAACCCGAGATAGACACTCGCCACCCCCCGCCCTGCCAAGTTCTTGCACCTCTGACCTTCTCCTGTCCCACCTGTAGTTATGAGCGGACTGAGGCATTTGTGGGCAAATTTCTTGGCATACAGCTAATGACAGTGAGTGGAAGCAGCAGGGTTCTCCCTCGGAGAACCCCCAGGGAATTCCAGTGAATCAGGCTTGTTGTGTCCCCAAGAGGACAGAGACACACCAGGGCTGGGTACGAAGGGGCTAGGCCTCAGTGTCCATTTGTAGGACTACTGTCCTGCACTCCAGGAGGGGATTTGGGTCTGTTTTATTCACTGCTGTATTCCCAGTGCCAAGGACTGTGTCTGACACATGGTGGACGCCCAATCAGTATTGGCTCAATGAATGAATGGTGAAAGGGAGCAATCTCTCTGCACCTTAAATGAATAAGCAGAGGCGAGAAGCACTCTACGCCAGCAGAGGTGCGGCTGTCCTGCCTCCAGGAGCCTCACCTGTTGGGGAGGCGGGAGTGGGGTGACACCTGCCCTTAAAGCAGGCTGATCACTCTGAATCCTGTTCAGTGGGCTCTGTGCCCTGGTGTAGCTAGGGCACTGAAGCTCCCTGCTCCTCACGGTAACTGTCATGGAGTTCTCTGGTCCACGGGCTTCCCGTCTCTTAGGATACCTGGGGACACGCCAACCCAACTGAACACAATCCTCTCTGACCCTGGTCCCCAACCCAACTGAACACGATCCTCTCCGCCGTGTATAGACACATCCTACGAGGTTCTCTCCCTGGCCGTGGCCCTACTGAGCTGCCTGCTCTACACCCTGGCCCTGACCTGTGGGGGCCCGGCTGTGCCTGGACTTGGCTTCTGGGCATCCATAGGACCGGTCGCAGTGGGAGGTGACACCAGGAAGGCCAGGAGGAAGTACTGGGATACTACAAGACTGCAAGTTCCCAATTCCACACTCCCTGTAATGCTGCCCCAGCAATGTGCCCTCACCCAATTCTGCTTACTTCATGCCTGGTGCCGGCCCACGTCCCTCTGTCCCAGGAAGCCAGGAGGAGCCTTCCAGTCTGCACTTCCTGACTTTTTTCCCCTCACTTTGCTGACATAAACTCGAGATCCGGCTCAACATACCCCTTGTCTACACATCCCCCAGCTTTCACGAACTTCCCTCTCTTCCTTCCTCCCCACACCCACACGGGCCCACTTACCCCTCTCCTCCCTCCCCCCATGACCTTCCTGGACACTGCCCGCCTCTTCCTCACGCCCTCCCACTCCCTACCCAGCAACCATCGGCCAGAGGAGGCTACCTGGAGGCCTGACGTGGATGGACAGAGGAAAGGACCAGTAAGAAACGACAGGAGGACCCCAACCCTCCAGAAACCACAGGATTTGTCGAAAACCTTATTTACAAGTCTCCCCACCCCAACTGTGGAAACGAAATTGCAGTTGGTGACTGGGAATTGGTCTCAGCATGGTTCAGAAATTGTAACAACATTCTAGATAAAATAAGTAGGCAGCGCCACAGATACCTGTGACCTTCTGACTTTCTCTCCCCCATAAGTTGTTCACCAAGACCACTTGAATTTCTCTTCTCGGGATTAACTGTCCCTTATCACCACCACAATTCCTTTTTTCCAACTCTGATGTCAAAAGTAGTCTGTATTCTACCCTCTCTCTCTCATCTCTATGTCTTCATACTTAAAACCTCGTAGCTCCATGTTTTAAAAAATAATAAGACAGATGTGTGGAGTTTACAAACAAGCCATCCTAAGAAGCTTCTGTAACATTCCACAACGGAACAGCTGCAGCCCAGGAGAATCTGGATCCAAATATGTACAGTCTATGCATCATCTCCTCCCCTGCACAATGGCTATTAAATAACAACTAGCCTTTTGGGCCCTTTTCCTTGGCCAGGGAGGGAGGAGGGGGCAGGAGCACCGTTGCCAACGGTGCGGCAGACAGCTATGCAGAATCCGGGCTTCCTCCCACTGAAATAGAGCCTCCAAACCCACAGTGAGTGGTGGTTCCTATGCCTCAGGCACCAACATTTAAACTGCTACCTGTCCGAGCGAGGAGAGGTGCGCTACCAACTCAGAGACGCCAGGAGGAATGCAACGTGGAGGAGTCGGCCTGTCTGTGAGGAGGAGGCGCACGGGTCTTGGGTCTTGGCTCCGCATAGATGCTGCCTCTCCTGCTCTCCGCTGTGGGTGGCTGGCTGCTGGGCCCTGTGAGGCATGATGGGCCATCACTGCAGCCCCGGAAGGGGCCTCACATCTGGCTGGTGGCAGCGCTGTCCTTAGGGAAGATGTGGCTCAGCGGCACCTCGTGGAGGCTCCCCCCGTCCGTACTGAGGTCATCATCATCTGTGTCGTCCAGCACCTTGCTTGGCAGCTTCTTAAGTCTGCCAAAACAACAGGGGGCATGTGTCCTGGCCCTGGGCTGCTGTTTGTCTCTGATCAGGGGATGAAGGAAGGGTCTGGGGTTCCCATCTCTCCACCCTCTGGCTGCCACAGAAGCACATGAACCGGTCTGCACCTGACAGTTCCTTCAGCAACAGGGAGCAAACTGCCTGCAGGCGGCCAGTGTTGCCAGGGAGGGCTGGATGGGGCTGGGACAAGTTCAGTAGTGCTGATTTTTCCTTTCGCCTCAAGCTACGATATGTCTCATCAGGGTGCTGTTATTGATCCCATCTTAATTAAAAATTTTGATATCTTGTTTACCATGGGTTGTTTGCATTCACTTTATATAATAGCGCGTGAATTATCTATCTTGATTACTAAGATTTTTGGTGCCCCCTAAAATGGTGCACCCTAATGCCAGCCCTGGGGCCAGGCTCTTAATAGGCCCTATTTATAGGATTCTCAACGGGCTGGGGTCTTCTGTCCATTTACAAGAGAACCACCTGTGCTACCTGCATAGCCTCTGAGAAAGGCTCAGCTCTATGGATGAGCATGAACTTAATCTCACCCTGTACCCAAGTGACCCTGGGGCAGGGAAAGTGACCCCCATCCTAGGCCCCTTCCACTCATGGCAGGGGGGCTTTAGAGGCAGCTCTCTCCTGAGACCAGGCCCAAGAGAGTCTAGTCTTCATGGGGATATGAAGCCAAACCTTATCTTATTTCTCCCTAAAAGCAGGACTCCTAAGGGCTGGTCTAGGGGCTGCCCCCTCCAGGGTGGTATGAGCTAGGTCTCCTGCTCTGAGCCTCAGTATCCCCTTATGGACAAGAGGGATGAAATCTGTCTGGCTGACAGCAGGGGATTGGTATAGGGATGACACATGTGGGGTGACCGAAGTGGATGTGGCCACTCTCAACTCTAGGATGGGATAACCCCGAGAGGCGACAACAAGGAACTGGCGTCAGACACCAGCAGTGAGCATGCCCTGACAGTGTCGAGCTCTCCTCAAATGTCAGGGGGATCACGGTCCCCGTGGGGCCGCCACACTCGCCCACCTTAGGTCCTTCTTCATGGCATTGAGCTGTCCCTGCAGCTGCTCGTTCACATCCATCTGCTCCTCCAGCTCCCTCTGCAGCTTCTTTTTAGAACTTTCTAGTCTGTCGATCTCCTCCTCGGCCTCCTCCACTTGTCGCTTCATGGCTTTCAAGCGCAAGCTCAGCTGCATTGGGAGAGAAGGCAGGTTGAGCGCCAGCTGGTCACCCAGCTCAGCGGGGATGGAGAAGAGTCCAGCACAAAGAGGCCTGCAGTCCAGCCGCCGTCTCCCCAGGCGACCAAGAAGTGGCAAAGGGAGCAACTGGTCTCAGCTTTGGGGCTGAGGGTTGCTGAACCCCCTGCTAAAGGAGGCTAGAAAGGCCCCATTGTTCTACAATGTACCTGGGGAGAGGGGAAGACAGGACTCAGTCTCTACAACTCTATCACCCGCCCGCCTGGGGCGGAAAAATCTGAGAATAAGGGTCCCTCACCTGGTCCTTCTGATCAGTCAGTGACAGGTGCTCATCATCCACCTGCATCACCAGCTCCTTCACCTTCCGCTCCAGCCGGCGGTTGCTAAGCTGGAGGCTGGCCCGGTCCCTAGAGGGGCAGGGGGAACAGAACCAAGGACCCTCTCATCCAGCCCCACAGGAGGCCCTGGCCAGGCTGTGGAGGCAAGGAAGCTCCTGCCAAGCAGCCTAGTCAACTCGTGACTTAGGGTCGGAGACATAGAGGTCAGTCCGGGAGGAAAGGGGGGCTCCACGAAGGGGAGCGACTTGCCCGAGGCCGCAGAGCCAGTGACAGGCAGAGCTGGGACTGGAGCTGCCCTGCGTTCTTCCAGTCCCAAGCTTTACTTTGTAAGGCAGAGGGTCCCCGAATGCCCGAGTATGAGCGGCATGGGTCTACTCCAGGCTGCTCTAGCCCAGCCCCAAAGTCCTACTAGGAACGGATAATGTACAGTGCTATACGCACACATACCTCACCCCTGAGGGGCCAGGAGTAAGAACGGAGGCCAGTCAGGCTCGACTGGGTGCTGGCTGGCCCTCGGGCTATGATCTCGGAGCCAGTTGCAGAGAATCTGCTAGAGAGGGGGGGGGCCCTCTGATCCCAAGTGTCTTCCACCCACTGTGGGGGTCCTGCCCATTTCTGAACCAGCACTGGGCCTCTGCTCCAACACCTCTGGCCCCTGGGGCAGAGTGGACCCCCTGCCTCTAATCCAGCTGAGACTCAGTAGCTGATGAGGCAGCCTGTTGTACCGAGGAGTGGAAAGGAGCAGCCAGCACAGCGCGGAAGCTGTGGGCTCAGGTGTGGGACGCCTGAGCTATAGTCCGCTGGCCAATATTCAGCCCGGCTACCTTCCCCAGTACTTACTGGCACCGGTCTTGCTTTTCTCGCCTATTGCACTTGCTCCACCTTCCTCACAGGAAGGCTCATAAGGACAGGAAGGGGCACAAATGGGAACATGCTCTGCAGTGTGGACACCACTGCTCACAGGGCCTCTGCACCTCGGCTGGCCAGGCTCACCTCTCCTCGCTCTCCAGACGGTCCTCCAGCTCAGCGATCCTGGCCTCCATCTGCACCACCAGCCCCTCTTTGCTGGACCTGTAGGAGCCTTCCAGGTGGATAATCCGGCTCTTTAAGTCCTTGTTCTAGAATCAGACAGGGATGCTGTGAGGGGTTGTGCGTCTGCTGTGCTCTCTGTGCAGGGTGGAGCCAGCACGTGGTCAGCAACTGCGATGAGCCCACCCTCCACACAGGATGCATGGCCCCGGGGGACCGGGGGAAGCGGGCATGTCTCTAGGGAAAGGCCTTGCACTCCACTCCTGGCACGCTGAGAAGAGATTCTACCACATTCCCTCCTGAGCCCAAGCGAAATCTTTGGCTGTCGTAGGACTCCTGGATGTCAGGCAAACAGGCGTGGCCTTGTTTTTGTATAAAACTATTGGGGAGGGGGTAGGGATGGCAGGAGAAACAGTCTCCTTCGCCAAGATCATATAGGATATTCAGTGAAGAATTTACATGAATAGCATGTAAAAGAAACGATTCCAAAACAAAACAAAACAAAAAGAAACGATTCTAATAAGCTCTGTTGGCAACTCGTGGCTCTTTTTCATTCCCTTTACGTTAGAATTTAGCCCTCTTAGGATCTAGAAGATGCCACCCACAATTCCTCCTCCCCTAGCTGTTCAACCTCCAAGCAGATTTAATATTATTGGGAAAACCTCTCCAGAAAAGGCCTTCAGAACACCTCCACCTCTCAGGTGAGTCAGGCCCCAGAGTTCTTGGGGTGCCATGCAAAGGAGTCCCCGCTGAGGGGGTCTAATCCAAGACCAGCCTCACCTGCCTCTCCAGAGAAATCTTGTCACACTCCAAGTCCTGCTTGACAGCTCTCTCCTGCAGGAGCTCACTCCTCATCTGCTCCATCTGCACCCAGGAGAACAAAGCCCAACAGTTAGAGGGGCTATCTCTGTATCCTTCGTGAGGATATGGTCCCTGGGTATCGAATTCCAACCACCAAGCCAGCTTCTCTTCATCATGTCATCTCCTCTTGGGGGCAGGAGCTGTTCCTTAGATACTCTTGGTTTCGTGATGATTGCAAAGACAACAATACCAACGACGGTAACGGTCATAGCACAACCCGCTCTTATGGGCTGAATGGTCGGCCCCCCCAAAGAGATACACTGAAGTCCTACCTCCTGGTACCTAAGATATGACCTTATTTGGAAATAGGGTTTTTACAGAGGTAACCAAGCTCAAATGAGGTCATAAAGGTAGGCCCTAATCCAATATGACTGGCGACCTTATAAAAAGGGGAAATTTGGACTCGGGGACAGACATGCAGCCAGAAAAGACAGCCACGTGAAGAGAGACACAGAGGCAATGCCACGTGAGGACGGAGGACCGGAGGGAGGCATCTATGGTCAGGGAATGCCGAAGAGCCAGAAAGCTGCCGGAAGCCCGGAAGAAGCAACAGAGAATTCTCCTACAGGTCCAAAGAGAGCAAGGCTCTGCTGACACTTTGATTTCAGACTTTTGGGCTCCAGAGTTGTGAGATAATAAATTTCTGTCCTAGGCCACCCCATTTGTGGCACTTTGTTACAGCAGCTCCAGAAAACGGAATCACCTGCTTAGCACTACACAAGCACTATTACTGTCCCCACAACCCCAGGAAGTAGGTAATCCTATCTCTGCGGAGGGCACTGGGGCGTAGAGAAGCTCATCAACTTGCATGGTGCCCAACCATCCCGGCCAGCTCGCCCAACTCGGAGGATGTTCTTGGGGCACAGGACTTCCGATGCTAAAACTGAGCATCCGAGCATCATTCGTCCGGGGATGAATCAGTGATCCAACTTGCCTGAGATCTACACAACTAGTAAGAGGGGGAGCGAGCACTCATCTGAGTTCCTGACTGCTGCAGGGTAAGTTCAAACTTCGGGAAAGGCTTCTACACTTAGCATATCTCAGACGCTGCTAGATTTCTCCCTTCGTGTACCAAAAACAAAAGTCAGCAAGAATACTGGGCAGCTCTTGGTGACCTGGCAAAGGCTAAACGTTACTGAGGATTTTGTCTATGTTAATAGGAAATGAGCCTACTGGAGCAGTACCCAGAAAGAAATCCCGTGGCCTGCCTCTGTTCCCCAATCCCCAGCGGGCTTTCAGCAGCAGTGACATGAACCCCAGACCCTGTTCCTAGGACTGTCCAGCAGAGGGCAGCCTGAAGAAGCCGGGAGAACTGACCGTGTGAACCAGTAAAATAAAACCACCCCTTCCTTCATAAGGTTCAGCCTGGGTAAGAGGTGCACCCACGAGTCCCTGGATGCCCGGGGTACACCTGTAACAGTCTCACCGGCCTGGTCTCCACTTGCATTTTCACCACCTGCACAAGCACCTCAGTAAAGGAAAAGCCCACCCCTCCCCGACCCTCTGCCTGGAGAGCAAGACCTTGGGGGGTGAGCGAGGGATAATAAGAGGAAACGCTGGGACAGGCTTGCATCTGCTCCCATCTCCCACTGTCCTTGCCACAGTGCATGCAGGGAATGACGAGCAGCATGGTGTAGGTGGCCCAGAGTGGGTGACAGGGAGGGCTGAGGAATGAAGCTGGTGATGGGCAGGACCTGGACCTGGAGGAGGCTGGGACTCTGCCCACAGGTGAGGTAGTACCTGTGTGGTCAAAAACAAAAAAATGCTCATATTTTTGCATTTCTGGCCAGCAGGCTTCTAAGTCAAGGGAATTCAGAATTCTACAGCAGGGGACACTGATGCCCAGGGCAGTGATACATGTGACCAGAGAGAGCAGAACTAGAACCCAGGCCAAGCCTACTCACAGCCCACTACTCCGCCTGCCCTGGCTCTCTGGACCAACTTGGTGCAAAGGCCTCACACGGATCTAGGGTTCAAATACAGCGGTCATGTAAAAACCAAGACCTGGGAAGAAGGCAATCTCCTTAGGGCACTGTTGTGCACTGCGGGGAAAAAAATGTCAGCAATGCTAAGGGTCAGCCGGCAGAGCATGGAGAATTCCGTCCATGGCCCAGCTCCCACCCTGCCTGGCCCCAGAGCCCTCGAGAATCACCTGTTACAAAGGTGCTGGAATATTCCTGTAACTGCCACATGAGCACAAAGTCCACAGCTAACGAATGCGGGCTCACAGCCCCGCTCCGAGCGCGGCCTCCAAACCGGCTGACGCAGCACACGGAGCACGGAGGACGTCAGCACGGCTGGGCCACGGGACTGCCATGTGCCTCCCAGGGGAGAGTGTTCTGTTCACCGGACCACGGTTAAACTGTCACTGTGATGGGAAGTCATTCCACAGCTGAGCAGTGGAGGCCCGGCTTCTCCTCTGGCTCTGAGTTCACTTGTGTGTGACCTCAGCCACCTCGCCTCCGGGATGCAGACTCGTTTCTAACACAAGGCACTTGAACGAGACAGCCTGTGAAGGCCCTTCGAGGTGGCCGGTCACACAGTGAAAGCACATTCTGGCGGGTGCGGTGTGGCTCTCCCCGCGAGGAAGCCAGAGGACCCTGCCCCCATCCTCCGGCCAGAGTAGCGGTCCCATCTCTCCAGACACTGAGGAGTGTCCCCAGAAAGGACGTGCATGTACTTGCATGCTGGGGGACAGCTGGTCTTGGGATGACGGGATAGGTGACAGGATGGATGGGTTCACTCCTTCAACAACGGTAGCAGCCCTGGGACACTGACAAAGACCAACCCAGGACCTGCCCTAACTGTAGCCTCGTGGGGGACAAACGAGTAAGTCCCATATGTGTGGCATATGGCAGTGGTCACAGCCCAGGCATAGAGGGCCAGGGAAAGGGCCCCTCAGCTGTGACCCACCTGAGAGGCCAGGCTCAGGCAGGGTAGAGAAAGGGGCAGGAGAGGGAACACAGCTTCCCAGACCAGGGCCACCAGTGAGTCAGAGCGGGAGGTAAGCAAGAAGACTGGGTGCTCGAGAAACGGAAAACACTGGACTAGACACGCAGGGGCAGGGAACAGGCAGGTTAAGAGAGAGGGGAGAGGGAGCAGTCCCATGGGGCCTGTTACTACATGGTGACCAGGGAGCTCACCCAGTCTCTGCACCTGTCTGCAGCCTCTCCTGGACTCTAGGGGTAGATGGGGCTGGTACCGGACCTACCTCCTCCGGGGGGGGTGGGGGGTTGGAGGACTAAAGGAACAGCACCGTAAAAATGCTTAAGACTTCCTTTAGTAAGTGCAATCCAAGCTCCCTGGTCACCATGTAGTGGTGCTTAAGACTTACTAAAGGAAGTAAGGGAGCATCCCAGAGGTCTCCTCAGGTTCAAGACCTCCCTGGAGGGGCGCCTGGGTGGCTCAGTCGGTTAAGCGGCTGCCTTCGGTTCAGGTCATGATCCCGGAGTCCTGGGATTGAGCCCATGTTGGGCTCCCTGCTCAGCAGAGAGTCTGCTTCTCCCTCTGCCTGCTGCTCCCCCTGCTTGTGCTCTCTCTCTCTCTGACAAATAAATAAATAAAATCTTAAAAAAAAAAAATCTCATTGCTAAAAAAAAAAAGACCTCCTTGGAGAGCCCCAGGCAAATGGTGATGCTCCAAAAAAAAAAATCCCAGAAAACAAAACAAAAAGTCACTATTTATACTCCCCTACATCCCTTCAAAAAATGGCTATTAAAATGGAAGTGCAAAATAAATCAGAGTGAAGAACAGGAAGGAACAAATGTGCAACCATAAAACTTAACAGTTACTGTGACAAGGCTGTCCACTTTTTCTTACTCTTTCGCAAACCAGGCCTTTTAGCAGGCATGCGAGGCTTCCTTCAATTCTTCAAAAAGGACAGCCTGACAGAAAATTCCAAAATAAGTCCACTACATGGAGCCTTATACAAGGAATACCTTGTGAAGTGACGGACAATGCTCCCAAGGCTGGTTTTTACCATAAACCAGAAGTGCTTTAGCTCTGTCAATACAGTGATCCCTAGGACCGGCGCAGTGACTTGAGCCCACCACACTGGGAGAAGAGAGGAGAAGGGAGGGGAGTGGAGGGGAGTGGGGAGGAGGGGCGAGGAGGGGAGGGGAGGGGCGGAGAGAGAAGGGAAGAGAGGAGAGCCTCTGGTTTGGCCAGCTTCCTCCTGTGGACCAGAGAAGTAAATAAATCTGTGGCTGGGAAAACATTTCTTTTATATAAACTTAGTGCGTTACATGTTGTTTACCCTTCAACTATACTAAATAGACCAAACAAAAACTTCTCCAGTCAAACTAAAAACAGAACAGGAGCTGAAGGCAACAGTTTATCAGAGCTGGATTGAAGGAATGCTAAACCCTGAGCATCTTGATCGGAAAGAACAGTACCAGATTCCAGTGGGTTTTATGTCAGAGGCACCCATGACCTGAGCCAGCTCTCAGGATGAGACGCAGCAGCCTTCTGGGTTAATGAGAAGCCAGAGATATCTATGATCGCTAATACCAATACTTCGCCCCATCACCTGTGTTTACCATTGGGCTGTAGAGGGCCTTGGGACCTACACTCCTGGCTGGTATTAAAAACACCAGGAAGATCCTCAATCCTAAGAGAGGAAAACCATTATTAACCAACTATACACATTGGGTTTTAAGCCGCCGATACTGTCGGAGCCAGGTCTGGGACTAAGGAGCATTTCAATTAAAAGAAAAGAAGCCCCATAATTGATCATTCAGTCACTGACTGCAAAGGAGCCTTACTTCCCAATACCATATCCCACTGGATGCAACACCTGGTGCAGACTGAGGAGCAGGTGTGAGCCAACCACCTGGGAGCAGTTCCAAAAAGAAATGCAGAGGTCTGCAACTTCATCCACTGGGATTTATTCTGTTGTTGCCAAGGCAACAGGGAAGCCTTACTAAGCCCCTGTAAGGATCATAAAGCCACCCAAAGCTCTGGAGTTGGTATTTTTCCTCTTGTCTGCCTACATTAGAAGAATC